CCTATACTCAGATTATATATATACGTTGGATCCACCTATAACTAAATTTGGCATGAATTCCTATTCGGATCTAAATTTAAATCATAATCCAAATTTAAATCCAAAACTTGGATCCATAATCGGATCCAAATAGGAGCCATATTTTGGGTGTCAATCCTGACCGGGTAAATTCCGAGCCCTAACATGACGTTATATTATCCTGACTTAATAGGTACATTTCTTAACATATTGTGTTGCTCCCACACCTTTATGGCGAACTTTTGGGTATGGGTACGAAAGGAATTGAAAAGTGGGTGTGCCCCTGAAAGATCAAAATGTGCACATGTTCTCTCAAGAATATTCTATTGATCTTAAAAATTTAATTTAAAAAAAGAGTTAGATTCTCTATTATTTAAAAATTTCTTTCGTTGAGGGATCATGAAATGATGAGAGAGAAAAATATATATCGAAATTCATTTAATCAAAACTTCATTAATAATTTTTCCAGCACAAATAAAAATAATTCAAAACACGAGCGGAGCATACCTTTGCTAGTAATATAAAAACTCCTAAAATTGACAAATAGCATACCTTTAAACAGGGTACTTGATTAGTACCCTAAAGTTTTTAGGACTAACCCCACTTCATCTTTTTCTATGTTCTTGAATATCATCATAGTGTTGTCAACTTGTTGGCTTATAATGTCCTTTTTAGGCCCATTCTCTAATATGCCTACTTTATTTTTTGTTGATTCAGTCCTTTTATTTATTTGACATCCATAATATTGTCCAGCATAATGCAAAGTTCGCACTATACATATAGCATTTAGATCTAGTAAGGGGGTCTACTTTTGTTTTTCTTTTTTGACAAGGGGTCTACTCCATATATTAAATGTCAAATGAAAATCATTGCCTTGTGAGTGGATATAGTGCTTTTCATATTTATTTCACTAAAGGCCTTCCTTCAAACCTTACTCCCTTTTTTCTATAGGGTCCTTTGGCCTTCTCATCAATAAACTTCGAAGCAAACTGCAACCTCTTGGTCGAAAGGATCGGATTTGCTCGAGATGATCGAATTTGAGGGTTTTTTTTTTTGTGATAAATTTTATAGGTGTGCTTTAGTTTGTTTGTTTAGAACCTCAACTTTATATAAACTTTTTCTTTTTGTGATATGGCTACTTTAATTTTTATTGATTTAATCCTTTTATTTATTGACATCCATAATATTGTACAATAATTTGCGAAGTTCGCACTATGCATATAGCATTTGGAGCTAGTAAGGGGGTCTACTTTTGTTTTTTTGACGAGGGATCTACTCTATTTATTAAATGTCAAATGAAAATCATTGCCTTGTAGGAGGATATAGTTCTTTTCATATTTATTTCCCTAATCCTTCACCCCTTACCTCTTTTTTTCATATTAATAAGGGTCCTTTGGCCTCCTCATTAATACCCCTTTGAAGCAACCTACAACCTCTAGGGTGATTTTTTTTGGAACTGATTCATACCAGAGAGAGAGCGAACAAGAGAGAGCGAAAGCCGCTGCACTAACGTGCATTCGTTTTTTTATAATAAACAACGGCTGGCCTGTAAGCCGAACGGCTAGCCTGAAACCCGTTGTATTAACAAGCATCCATTTTTTTGCTTGTTTTCTGCTCAAAAGCCAACAAACAGCGCCTAGAGGGAAAGAGATATGGTCAGATGAAGAAAACTCAACAATGAGATAGACTCATTCTCCTACTTGGAAGAAAAGCTGAAAGCATTTTGTTTGGAGAGATACCTGAGCAAGGGACTCAATGGAGCCAGCCAAATGTGACTCAACCCTGAAACAAAAATCCCAAAAAATTTCCTTATATAGCCCATTAAAGATGGTAAGATGATTTTAACCCTTTAAATAAAATTGGTAAGTTATTTGTGTGATAAATTACATTTACTTCCATGCTTATTTGAAGGGAATTTTTTGGGCTCTAGGCAGAGGTGGTTAGGGTGGCGGGTGCTACAACATGACGTCTAGAGTTTTATTCTCATTAATTTCATAGTTTAATGGTCAGAAAAAAAAAATTAATAATAATAATAATAATAATAGTAGGTTGCACAATATAATTTTGTCTAAAATGAAGTAAAAATAAATAAAATGGAAATTTTGTAAAGGAAGTTACTGCAATAGTATTTAATAAGTGCCAAATATCAAATCTTTTAATTGAAATTCTTGCTATCGATAAAAACTATATCTTCTCATAACATTTGAGAAATTGGTTATCTGAGGTTTGATGGTAAATAATGTCTTTTATTGCAATTATAGTAACAAATTTTGGTTAATGAATGTTTCCTAAAAGATTTTTGCATATTCTCTATATTTCTGCATATGTATGAAATAACAATTGCAATCCTTTGAGATTTAAATCAACAGTTCAATTATGGTAGTTCTTTTAAATACTTCAACGAACATTTATGATGATATTTCGAGTCTTTCACTGAGAAGACTAGCTTATCCATATCTACAGGAAAGGGTTGACAGAAGAAGCAAGATTACAGGATTCCAGCAGGTAGCATTGCCGGAATTAAGACGCACGATGCCTGAATTCCCAAAAGGAACTTTGGGATATGCACTGGAAAACAGTTCAAAGAACTCAAGGGAGAATAAATCAGAGATTGTCGAAATCTTGTCGAGATCATGGAGCAACTCTTCCATGGAAATCTTTCAAATCTTATGCCAGAGCTTGGAATTACCTGCAAGTAAAGAAACGAAAGAAGATGGAAAAATGGCCAGGAAACAAGATGCTGGGAAGAGAAAACAAGATCTCTTGGTATCAAACTTCTTAATCTTATTATTTTCTTATGTTTCAGATAAATAATACCAGACTTTAAGCTTTACTTTACATAGAACTTATATACTTTTTTTTCACATAAAAGATAGGTTTCAAGACAAAATTTTGCTAAAATTCATGTTCTGTTTTGCTCTATCTAATCAACTTTATTTAATAATATTAAAAATGTACCTGATATTGTAGTTTGCATAAGGTTGCAACCTTAAACAATTAAAATAAAGCGTGCCTGCAAACTTTGTCATAAGGTACAATTTTGGTGTTTAAAATTCTTACGATGGCATGAGAATTTATTTTAATCTCTAACTACAAAATTCTGAACTTCAAAAAAGGTCCAAATCAAACAGATTTATGAATACATAAAAATCTTGAAAATCAGACAAGATAATGTGCTGCAAAATATACTATTTTGATACTTGAAATCTTCTTCTTCTTTGTTTTTTTTTTGTTCCATATCCATACATCTCGACATCAATATGATCAATTAGGTGTTTTTACAATATGAAAACAATCTTTTTCACAAGATTCTTGAGGTACACCTCAATTCTATATTTTCCGGTGTCAAACTTATATATTGTGTTTTCTTTTTTTTAAAGCACCTTTTTATAAAAAAGAAATGTACTATTTGCGCTTCTATGGAGCTAAGAATCGAAAGCAATTTAGATATTGTCACTTGAAAAATAATAGATTCATTTTTATGTCACCTCAAACGTCACTTTTGGTAGGTCAATACCCAAAAGACTTCAGGGATATATATAGAAGTTAAGAAATCAAAAACAAATTAAGAAACTCAAAAACAAATAAAAAATTGTTTTTGTGCCTATCTTTTAAGGCCTATGGACAAGAACCTCTTTTTAGAGGGAAGTGATGAACGAGGTGGGATCATGAGGTAGCACCGCCAGACCTAGTTATCACGTTGTGATTTTCAATCCTATATTGAGACCACCCATAACCTTCAATAATCTATCAAAAAAACGGATAGGACATATCTTCCCTAATGAATTACCCAAGAAATATAAATAAAATCCAAATGTTATTCCCGTTTATATCAATGTCTAAGTCGTAGAAGTTCACAACTTTAATGTCAAATCTTGCCTCTAGGATAATGATTAGAGGAATATGTCCTTTATTTTTAAGTTTCCGATCCGAAAGCTTATCATTTCCTGCCCTTTATTTTGTACAAAACGATTATTTTATTTTTTATGCAAAATAATATATATATATATATATATATGGAAGAGTTCTATGTTCCTTCTTTTGTAGGGTGTGGTTTTTATAATGTTGCAACTTTAAACAATTCAATTAAGGCACACTTCCAAATTATATCACAATATGTACTTTTAGTATTAAAAATTCTTAAGATTATCTTAAAATCTATTTTCATATCTAATTATAAAATTTTAAACTCTAAAAATGGTTAAAATCAATTACATCTATAAACATATAAAAATCTTGAAAATGGACTGTTCGAAAAATGTATTGCAAGATGTACTATTTATGGAGTGCAAAATCTTTTTTTTTTATGTTCAAACATCTTGATGTCGAGATGATCAAGTAAAGGGTTTTCAACATTAAAACAACCTTTTTTGATGATTTTTAGGTGCATATGCAGTTCTACATTTTAATATTAGAACCTTATATAAAAAATTTCCTTCTTTGTATAGTTACTTTATTTATTGAAGAGAAAAGTGTGGATGATTGGAAAGGGGGTGGGGTTGTGGTCGTAGCACATCCACACCCTAGTTACCATGTTGTGGCATCCATTCCCATTTACACTACCGCACTAACACTTTCAAAAAACTAACTCCTAAATTATTTGAAAAAACGGATAGGTACTGTCTTCCCCAATGAATTACCCAAAAAAATTAAAAAAATGTGTGTATGTTGTGCACTCCCATGAAAGCAACACTATATAATTGCTCCCACAGGTCAGGGCAGGTTTTGGAGGAACCTTTGAACAAAATTTGATATATTTTAGAACTACCGTGTACGTATTTGCATAAAAATGAAAAATCTACTTTGGGTTCCTATACACTTACATTTGATTGTCTAGAAATTGGATAGTCACTATTCATTCTCAAGTTCACTTCTCATCCTCAAGTTATTTCTTTTTGGCACATACTAACCGGCCATTTATCTTTCTTTATATATAT